CGCCTGTCACTCTGGCTTTTCTTTACTTTACAGGCAAAATAACAATTTTTCACACATAAATCTTCAAAGTTTGTGAGTCCAGTGTAATAAAAAGAGACACATGACGCAGCTCATTTCCTTTTTCGGACTTGGAATAAATGGTGAAATATCATCTGTAAGAGTGAGAAAAGCTCGTTAGTCAGGCTTTTCTAGCAGAAAGCGAGTTTACATTTTCACCCACTCTGCTGATTTTCACGTCTGCGTTCCTTGAAGCGGATGGTTTACACCAGGATATCCAGTGTTCTCTGATCATCTCTCATCCCAAGTTTCTTTATCGACGAAGCTGACGGATGCCAGAACAGAAGTGTGAATGTCTCTGTGGTCGCGTCTCATCCTGATGTTTTCAGAGGAGTTATTTTCGTCGTCCCGTTTCCAGCCGTCAAAGGGAGAGTGTGTGTGTTTTTATTCTCATCACAGAGGTTTTATTTCAAGCTTTGCTATTGTGAAGCGCTCTGATGGCGGGACAGGCGCTGCATCATTCATGAGCAGGAAGGAGTTTTTAGGTTTTATTATTTGTGCGTTTTCAGGCCTCGGAACAAACCCCGTCACAGGTTTAACATCAGCCGTGTGTTGCCTTTTACTAGAGCTGCCGACGCACTAATACTAAGGTAATGATAAAGACTTTATAAACACGCTGTCGTTGTCTTTTTTTAAAGGATAAAAGTAAATATATGCTCCTGACTCTCCTCTTGTTCTATAAAATGTCCTGGACCGGTGCTAGAACTTCAACAATGCGGCACAAAACAACCACAAATGATGTAGAAAAACTCCTTAAAACTAAGTCCTTCACTCAGAATGTTACTCAAACAATCAGGTTTTTGCAGCCAAATGTACAAAAAGCGTATCTGGTTTTGTATTCCTACATGTGCTGCCACATATTTTGTGATTTTATTCCCCCAAAAACAGTTGTTTTCATGAGACAGTTTATTTATAGCAACCTTAAAACAACCTGATTTGACCAAAGTGCTGCAGCTAAATAACATCAAGTCAGGATAAAATCAGTTCATAAAATCTAATAAAATATCAACAAAGCATCTCGTCAGATCAGATTCTAAAAAATAAGTAGAAACAATGAAATAAATATGCAATATTAGGAGCATTAAGAGCAGCCGAGAGCGTTTAAAACGACTACATCTGGAGGTTTTGATTGGAAATATAGATGAAGAAAGTTTTGATTGAAAATCTTAGCGGCCAAATGTACAAAAACGTTGTTTTGTTTTGTATTCCTAAATGTGCTGCGACATATTTTGCAGTTTTATTCCCCCCCCCAAAAAAATGTTTTTTTAAATCAATTCAGAAAATATAATAAAATACGAAGAAAGCATCTAGTAAGATCAGATTCTAAAACTTTAAAAGAAATAATGAAATAAAAATAAAATATCAGGAGCATTAAGCAAACAAAAAGCATTCGAAACGAGTCCATCTGGAGGGTTTTATTGGAAATATAAATGATTGAAAGATCAATAATCAGGTTTATGCGTCCAAATGTACAAAAGCTTGATCTTGTTTTATGTTCTAAAGGTTTCTGTGAACATGTTGTATGATTTTATTCTAAGAAAACTCACATTTATGAGCCGATTTATTCATGTAACGAGTGTGCGGTCCTGTTTCAGACGGACGGACCGGAGTTGTTAACACAGATTTTATATCCAGGTTCTGGTAAAACGCTCTGAGACGAACGTTTTGCTCGACTTGTGGATCAGCATCGTCCTCTGCATGTCTAAATGTGTGTTCAAGCTGGTGTGTGTTGGATGGCGAGCCGACGCCTGACGTTCTCCTCTCTCGCAGGGCGTCGGGCGCGATGGCTAATGCCTCCCCAGACCTGGACAACGCGGAAGCCCAGCGCCAGCTCAACAACAACAACCGACCAATCAGCTCGGGGTTCTGGGAGACGGAGTGCACGAGCTCCAAGCTGTTCGAGTGCTCGAGGATTAAGGCCCTGGCAGGTCAGAGGTCGCTCAGATCCATGCAGGTGTATTCATGCACCGGTTCTCTGTTGTTGTTGTTGTTGTCGGGTTAAGATGCATTTGACAGGGTTTTACTGGGACTCATCCACAGCTGGAGTTTTAGAAAAATCTTTATTCATGTCAGAAATCACAAAAGAAACACATTTTATTTTATTTATTTTCATGTTTGACCCCACGAGTCTAATATCACTCACGTTATGGGTTTAGTGGTGAAGCAGGTGGTTCTAAAAGCCAAAACACAGATCTCATAGTTCTAGTCTTACATCAAAAAAGATCATTTGTTCCGTTTTTAACTGTAATATATTTATGTTATTATTGTTGTTTACAGATGTTTACATCAAAAAAGATCATTTGTTCCGTTTTTAACTGTAATATATTTATGTTATTATTGTTGTTTACAGATGTTTCCCCTGTTGTTTTAAATGACAAATACTAAATACTAAAATTAAAGGAAAAATGTATTAAATTACACGTTAACCATAAAAAAAAGGCCAAAACTAAAAAAACATGTATTTTTTCCCTCACAAAGTTTAAGCATAAAATTTCCTTTTTTTTCTGTGTTTAAATCAGCAACAGAAAAAGGTTATTTTACAGATATTCAATGTAAGAATTGAGAAATGGTAAATGATATATAGCAGCTATTTTACAGATTTTTTCTATTTTCTTATGATGTTTTGTCAAATTAGACACAATATCTAATAAATCACAGAACATACGTATTCATTTACTTGCTAACTATTAAAAAAAAAAAAGAAACAAAATTCAGGCCAAATTGTAAATAATAACACATGTAAAAAAAATTATTATTTTTTTTTACAAATAACTATTTGTTTTATTTGTTTTTAAAAAAAATTGTGTTTGACCATAAATGTGCACTTTTTAAAAAAACTGTATTTAAATTTATTTGGGAAAAAAGTATATTAAGAATTGAAAAATGGTAAATCATATTTAATTGTCAATTAATTTAAGTATTAATTTACAATTTGGCTTAAATAAAAAAAAACGGTCAGAAGTGTAAATAACAATTGTGTAAAAATTGTTATTTACAAATTATTATTATTATTATTTTTTTTTTAAAATTACGTTTGACCGTAAATTTACACAATTTTGTTTGTATTTAAATCACCAAAATAGAATCATTTTACAGATATTTGATGTTATTTGAAAAAAGAAAATAAAAAGGTATATTCAGGGCTGTTATTTCACAGAATTTTCTTATTTTGTTTAAATTACAGATAATAAAAATCACAGGGGTATTCATTTACATGCTGATTGTAAAAATAAATAAAATAATAATGGCCGTAGCAAACATTGGGTGTGACCATAAAATGTTTGATCGTATTTAAATCAGCTGAAGTTATCGTTCGTTTACGGATACTTGGCATCAGTTTTACAGTTTTTGAACATTTCACACTGCTGCTGCCAGACTTTGACCATTTTTTACAGACTTCATTTTTCCAGTGCATCTTGAT